AAATATTATTATTTACTAACTCTCCATCAGCGGTTTCGCCCGCGAGATCGTGTATTATACAAATAAATATCTTCCTGAATTATCATTAATATATTTACATATATACTAATGGAAACCGCAATTAATCCATTGTATGTTTAAGACTGATTGCACCATAATAGCAGTCAAAGTTAAGGTTTATGTCGATGTTAATTCGCCATCTTTCATTCATTTCATTTTCATTTTACATGTAGAAATTTATTTATTCACTTGACATTGGCAGAATTGTGCGAAATGCGCAGATAAGCCATTAATTAAAGAAGAAGAAGAAGGTTTATGTCAAATTTGACAAATAACTGTCACGCTAGTAGCTCGGTGGTGTAGTGGATAAGCGCCGCGGTCCACGATCGTAGTCGTTAAGCAACTTTCGCAAGGGTCGGTCACGGGATGGGTGACCAAAAAAATTATTATCTCGAGCTACTCCCTGCTTCGGAAGACACGTTAAGCCCTTGGTTCCGCAGTCGTTAATAACCTCCAATCCGCATTGGGCCAGCGTGGAGGGTCATGGCCCATCCTCCTTAACCATCCACAAGGAAGGCCTGAACCCCTGCAGTGGGGACGTAAAAGGGCTGATGATGATGATGTCACGCTGACTTAACATTGGCTGCGGAATGCGCTAGTCTATCCTCTTTCTTATCATAAGTAAAACAATAACCAACTAAACTTTGACGGCTATAGTTAATAGTTAAAGTTATAACAAATGGTGCAAAAGATTATTTGCTTAATCAGTACTTTAACATGTTTGTAATTGTATTGTAAGGTGTGCAACCGAGACTAAGAGATCTTAGCGTACAAACAGCGGGAAGCGACTTAGTTTTATGATATGTAAAGATGCTAAAGTTGTAATAAGAAACAGTGTTTTTAAGAACTAGAGAGTAATTTGATTTCCACAACGCAAATAGTTCGAAAACTACTCGGAAGCAGAAACACAATGTGCAAGTGCAACTTCTTTACTTTCTAGCAAATAAACTCTCTTTGTTAAATCCGAATATTTAATTTTAAATTATTATATTGTCAAGTAGGTAAGATTTTCAGCATTATAGAACAATTTTAGCTTTAATCTGTATATTTATAGTTTGTGTTTGTGGTGCCATTTGACCCTAATTTTGCAAACGTTGCCTTTTTAATCGAAACAATAACGTAACGTTGTGAAATAGACTTAATGAAAATGATATGTAACGTTACAAGAACCCAAACATTATATTCAGTATAATTTTGAATTGCATGTGTGTTAAACTAAATGTATTAATAATCTAAAAACTTTATAAACAATAATAGATATGCATTCATTGATGTTCGATGGATATCTGTCGGAACTTTTAACAATTAAAGTCTAGTTTCAAAGAAATAATAGACCTAAGTACATTAAAGTTGTATTAACTACACAATTAACGTATGCGAACAGCATCCAATGGTATATTCGTTCGAACACACAAAAGCTTTCTATATAACAAAGCTTCATTGAATTTCGAACAGAATCCTTTGTCCTCGTTTGGAAAGTTCCATAATAAAAGTTGCTAATGGAAGATGGGAGCGGTAGTCACGAAGTCGCAATTAGATCTGAGTGAGTTGAGGAACCCTTTACCGGTAATTTTATGTAGTTAGCGCAAATGCGGCAGGGCGTTTACTGGCCAGACCGAGTTTCTCCATTGCCTATATAGAAAACTTTGTTTATACAGAAAACATAAGTATTTATCTTAAAGAAAAATATCAATATATTTAGCGTAAAGAAAAATAAAATATCAATATAATGATAAAAAAATTGACAAAATAATGCTTTAAATATTAATAAAATGTACCTAGATCATTAGTTGACCTTTGTCTCCTTTTTCTTGTCAGCGAAAAGCCATCCTGAAACGATTCCACAATGCTTTCAATAAGCGTATTTGAATAAAAAATATTTTTTGTTTCATTTCACATCACTTCACTTCAGTTCACTTCCCTTCCCTTCAATTCCCTCCACTTCTTTCTGTTTCACCTGAGTAAGAGACATATACCTATAATGCAACAGTAAAAAGTTGTAGAAACAAGGAAAAAACCAAAATATACTTCATGAGCAAATTGACCGCATGCTACTCGAAAGTTATTATAAAAACCGGCCACAATTTTTAAAAATACATATGAATGTCACAGGGCAAAAATTCACCAATTTTAAGTTCGGTATTAAGTCAAAAAGTTGCCCTTTACCATTTTTTCACTTCTTCTTTGTAATTATACTCTTTTGTAGAAAAAGATGATAAATATCACTTTTTAGTCGAGGGGACTGGAACACATTATTTTGTTTTTTTTTTAAGGGGTATACAAACATTAATACAATTTACATTGAAATAATAAAGTTAAACATATGAGATGTAATTACACCAACACCGGTCGCCACATCATGATCAACAAACCAGCTCAAAAGATGTAGCACCTAAAGTTTTACAAAGAGTTCTTTTATTACATGTGACTACCAAACAACTTCATGAGAAGTGATTTTTTACATTAATCGTAATTTTTTACGAATATAATTATTTAATAAAACTATCATTGATAATTATATTAAATATTTTTTACGCTCAAAAAGCATTCCTATGTCTCATTGGCGCGTTTATTTCAATCAGAAGCGAGGTGTATATATTCTTATCATCATTTACTCTAACAACATGGATGTCAAGACGAAAGACAAAACCAAGGTTAGGGTCTAAACTGTTTTAAAGAGTTTATTTATTTTTTAATAAACTTTCCTTCTAATTTTCCTCTCGAATCTTCCTGTAGGTATATTGATGAAAACCGTATTAAAATCCATTGCGTTGTTTAAAAGATCTAAAAAAGCGGGAGGCTACCTTATTTTATGTTATATACTTATAAGTTACAATTTTAAACCTTTCTACAAAATAATCAGTTTTCTATTAAACAAAAACAAATCAAATTAAAACTTAATTTATTGAAATAGCACCGTTTTATTTTGTTTATCATTCGTTTTCCAATGCTTTGTTGAAATAAATCGTACGCTTAAACAAATTCAACTAGTGCGACGTTTTAATTCAGAATGCAAATAGATTTGCAACCTACCTAAGTTATATATAAACTACGCTCCTACGGGAATACGGAGACTCCTGTAGAAGTGTAGTTTATATGTTAAGCTCTGTTGTACTCTCTGGTTTAAACTATTATAGAAGCTAGTCTGTGAGCTAGATTCAAATGTTATATTTGAAATTATACCTATAAATACACCTATTCTGTTTTTTGTTAACACTGGGTATATGCCTCAAATCAGGGCTCTCAAGTCACTAAAACTTGCTCCGATGAGTGAGGTCAAATTGTGAACTACGTGATAATACCCAGAGTACCCACACATGGGGGCAAGGATCCGGAAATCCAAAATACACCTATCGTAACTGCCTATCGTGTTAGTACGTGGTATTATATGTATTGTTTTTATAAATAATAAATGGGAAATGATATTCATTATATTAGCAAACAAAAATGTAGTTTTAATATTAAGATGACCAGCTATAATCCACATCTGTAAATCAACTAAAAAAAACCCTCTTTTTTTTTGAAGATTTTTTAGACTTCTTTGTTAGGCTACTACGTCTCGATCCATCTACGGGGCCGTAGTTAAAGCTAAGCTAATGAGAAAACTATCGTAAATAATTTACAAATTCATCATGAAAACAATTCTGGCTCTCAGGCTACAACGTTCCCCTCAAACGTTCGACTGAAGTATAAAATAAACAGTTGGTCGTTTTACGGTACTATATACTAAAAGCCCAGTGTATACCGGGCTCTAGTTTTGACAAATTGGACCAGAGACCTCGTCTTTATAAAGCGCTTCTTATATTATATCAGGAAACTTCCTAAACGTACCAAATATATGTACTTACAAATGACTTACCACTACCACATCAGAAAAATAGGTAGAAAAACACAGTTTCAAATATTCCAAAGTTTATTCAAAGTTGTAACAATTGCAATTGTTTGAAATCAAGCTACTTCTGCACAACCCATCAAATTTGTTTAATATAAAGTAGCCATAATAAATATCTGCATGAGCAATGAAGACACTCATTCAGATAATCAGATATAACGATAAATTTAGATTAAAAAAAAAAGTTTTTGGAGAGCCACCACCGAAAACCATAGTCGAAAAGAAGGGGAAGGTCAAAACATGCCTTTTATACGCTTACAGAATTTATCGATATGCCATTGACTGAATACCCATTTTCGTAGATTTTAAATTACACTATAATTAAAACTTTAAAAATAATATCCGATTGAATTATTAATTTAATGACAATTTATTTTAATCATGTTTTTTTAATATTGTTATTGAAATTCTACATATACTTATATTTGAAATAACTTATTTTATATTAATTAATAATCATGACATTATAACAGTTTATATCATATTCTTAAATGAAAATTAATGTGTATTATGACTTACCTAGTGTAACATTCTCTGTTACAAGGCTAATAAAGGATTTGATTTGAAACTTACCTTTCAAGAGCAAATTAAAATTATTAAAATCTAATATCAAGCTAGTAGAACTCTTATGTAAAGACCATGCCAGTATGAAGCCAGTTCTCTCTGTCTACCCTGCAAAGGCTCTGCATCAAAACACAGAATAGAGAAGTCGATGAGATCCAGTTGAATAACGGCTTTAATCCCAACTGTGGAGTACCCACACCGTCAAATTTTAAAGTGTAGATCTTCAAAGCCTACCGACTGAATAATTCTCGATTAGCAACTCTGTACTAGATCGCATTTTCAGTTATAGTAACAAAATTAATGTGACTGGAGATTGAATCACTATCACTAATGATGATGTCACATAGTAGACCTAAAGGACTGCAAACAAAATTAAATTGGAACGCCATTTCGCGCAAACAACCGGCGAATCGAAACCAATTATCGTTTTCACGTTGGATATCGGAAGTTCGTAGCAGGTGCGCGTAACGTATGCGCACAAAATATAAGCGGAGGCGTTTTAGTGACTAAAATAAAAAATCTTTTCAATTATATCATTTATAAATTGTAATGTAAATGCATTACTGAATAGTAGCAACAACAAATTGTTTAAGAGATTTATGAATTGATGGGATTGCACTGTTACAAACGTCAAGATTACAGTATCCGTCTACCGTCCTCCGATTTCTCATAGTTTTTCGTTAAGTGACGCTTTTTTAATTTCTATGTTTTTGGCGTATTTTATACTAGTGGCCGCCAGCGACTTCGTCCGCGTTTTCCATTATTTCTTTCCTCCTTATAGTTTGCAGCGTGATGTTATATAGCCTAAAGCCTTCCTCGATAAATGGTTTATTCAACACAAAAATAATTTTTCAATTCAAACCAGTAGTTCCTGAGATAAGCGCGTTCAAACAAACTCTGCAGCTTTATAATATTAGTATAGATGTAACACTGGATTCCAGAAACACGACGATTTCAGCTCGTCTTCTCAATTCAAATTTTTGTTTTTTTTCGATGACCATTTTTCTACATATAATCTGTGTAGCTCAATTCAATCGTAAAGATCAGAATCGATCTTTTGAGCTTTATATCTCTGACGGCGTGGTCGTGTTTTTCATTTTGTACTATGTTCTTATTTGTTTTGTTTTACAGTGAATTTTATAGACAATTAGGTTCCTCCAAGGGGATGTTATCTTTAGTTGAACGTATGTACTTTGATACTTCGTTGAGTGAACAAAAATATATGGAATTAAATAAAAATGGATTTTAGATTAATTCTCTAATTATTAGTTTTAGTAAGACACACTGTAAATCAAGACCCTTAATTTTAAAAACACGTGAAGATATCGAGTTAAAATTAGAATTATATACTCAGGTCTACCGTCCATTGAAGTTATGAATAAATACAACAAAATTAACGGAAAAAGGATACACCCGTTTATTCAAAGTAATACATATTTCGAGGATCTTAAAGGAATCATAATTAATAGGGTACGTCCCATTGGTTTAGCTAGAACTATGAAATTTGGCAAACGATATAGTATTATAGTATAAAGACCTACAAGGAACAATCTGAAAACTATAGATTTCTTTTTTGTCTTATCGAAATTTAATTACTAATTCAAATGAAGTATCATATGTGTTAATTTGATTGGGCTAGCATTCAGTACATGTTTTAATTAACAAGAAAAGCAGGTGCAGGAACTTTGACTTCCAACTCGTTTAAATTGGGCCAAGACAGCATTCGTAGCCCGCGGCGAATAAATCACGACTGGCCCCGCTGGCCCAGTCATTAGTGAGCCACGGTGACCAACTCAGATTGAATTGTAACCCTCACGTGTAATACTAAACAGTAGCACTTTTACGACTTAGTTATTATGTCACACTCTGAACTCGGGCGAGTTGAATTCGAAAGTTTAATTAAAATAAATAAAAATCTTACTATAAACATCTTTATATGTTTACTTGTTTGATGAACGACCAACATTTTTTTCTGTGGTGTGGTATTGTTGTTAAATAAGTAATATCAGCTTATCTGGATATTTTGGATTCTTGTCTTCTCAGTACAAGATCTCCCACCGTAGCTTTGGAAGCCGATGTAATAGCTTTAAAAAACAAAATCAAATTTGAATCTTTATATATTAAAATAGATAACCATAAAATGTTCGTAACAATCGCCATGACTCTTGCTCTGCGTTATGTGGTTGCTTATTTACCAGATTATTAAATAGGATTAGCAGTCGTACGTGATGTACACCGTACGTTCAGTCTTGATACTTACACGGCTTTGTGATTACCTCCTCGCTACCAGAATAATTTGGTTGAAGTGCACGATAATTTGTACGTATTCGTCTTGGACCCTTACACTAATAATAGCTTACAACCCATCAACTACGAGGCCCTTCAGTTCGGAAGCAAGAGTGAGTCTCGATAACTGACTTCAAATTGTCGTAATAGATCCTTAACTTTAAATAGAATTCGATACGTGAAACTTACATGTATTTAGTGCATGACTAGAAAAATACTATTTTGTGAGATATTTTATATTAAAGATTTTTTGTGAAATTCCGTAGGAATGATGAAGAGAGAATGATCTAGGTATGCAAATAATATATGTATATATATTACTCCCCAAATTCAAAAGTGATTCTGATGAAACTTTAGAATTACAAACAAAACTATATAAGTAAATTTTGTACTACGAAGTGGCTAAGATAACGTTAGATAATCGTCAGCTTAAATGAACTAAAATGAAGCATATTGGGGTAGCACTGGCGTTACCTACTTGGCAAAGTGCCGCGTACTCCGCCCATATGATCTTGATACGTGCACAACTTTGTGATTAGTCGCCGTTTAGTTCGCGCAATTGCTTCCGTTGAACGGCATAATTTCGCCTTTGTTCATCGCACTCAATTAATTGCTTATCGATAAATTAACGTTTATATTTTTAGGTTAGTTATCTATTAAAAAGTGAAAAAAGTTACGCAATAGATAGTGCAGTAGTAAAATGCAAACATTAGCAGAATTAACCTGCTGAATAGGCAGATGAACAATGTTGGACGATTTAGTGCATATTTGGATGAAAATTTTCATTAGCTATGTCAAATCAAATCAAATCAAATCCATTTTATTTGGCACAATATAAAATAATAAACATTTATCAAGCGATGCGTGTCCCACAGTTGTACCAAAAAGGTGTCTAGCTCAGCATATGCCGATCTCTTTTACTTCTTAAAAGTAAAAAGAGACCGACGCTGATTTTCAGCTAGACCCCGTTTGAATCTGTCACACGGATGCAAGGACGGTCATGTACAATCTATATTGATATATATACATATAAATACACACATAACTATAATTTTCATAAATAAGATAAGGAGACAAATATTTTAAGCAAGTCACTACATAAACTAATATACACGTGAGATGGCGCCATAATGTCGCACCGAGCATCACTGTCTCGCCGCGACGAATGCATCTGTTGCGGCGAGCAGCGGTGCAGCCCGCAACGAGCGGCACGCGATGTCGGACGTGCGCACGTCATTCGAAACCCCACATAATGAGGCCACCGAAAATCACGAGTTAGCTGTTAAATAACTAAGTGCACAAAGCAGACGATAGTAATAAAAATTGGTAAGTCCCAACTTTGTCACTTTCTGTAAAATTTTAATACATTTCATGTTCATCCAGCGAATATAATTTGCTACAGGAAGAAAACAATATTACAACAACAAACCAGCTTAGTACCGGTATGGACCTATGACGTGACGTCACCTCGGACGCTCCGCCCGCGCGTAGGCCACACTCAATAGGTACAACAATTGATGCTTTTAATTGACAATTAATTAAGTAATATCCACACGTATACATATGCATATACTGTCGGAAAGTCATGCGGGCCGGCGGAAAGTTAGGTTAGTCAACATCCGCAATCTGACTAGTGGTCGAGATATTCCTTCGAAATAAGATCGCATATAGATCACAAATCAGTTATTTAGTTGAATTACTTAATTATCTAATCGGAGTACATTAATAATAACTCGATGCAAACGGATTGCGATACGAAACGCGGAGAGTTCTGCGCTTGCGTCCGCTCAATATGGCCGCACAACGTAAAGTGCCATCTTCGAACAAGCATAGACCACTCCCAAGCGATGACAGCCGTCAATGTCATAACTTGACGTTTCGCGAAGCACCATAGATCTTGACAGATGACAACTGCAGGTGACAGATGGCGTTTCGCACAATCGAAGCGCCTTCTCGCCGACACGGCCATCCTGCTGCATCACACGTCCTCGTGTGAGTCTAAAAATGAAAACACTACCGGTAGCCTTTGCCATCACTCGGTCATCTCTGACCAGTAAAAATACGGTCACATAAGCATACTGATCACAAACTATGTTTACTGATTACATCTATGTACAATGATCAAATACTGCAATGCCTTAGTAAACCAACTTCGAAGGATATCTGAAGTTCAAATTTTAAATCAAGTCTTACACTCATCAGTACACAACTGAACACATATCGCGATTCTATACAGTGATAGAACGCACACATCAAGACACATAACGCCTCCATCGAGCATTGTTCCCATGAGCAACTCCATTGATCGCTCAAGTAACACCTCCATCGAGTGTTAACCCAACTTAATCACGCGATGTGCCAGGAACTTCGAACACAGGATCATCACATTGATCCACCAATTCTTCTACAACTAACTGACCTTCAGGCATCCTTCTCAGTCTATCATGAGCATACTTGTACGTCCTCTTAGAATTTAACGCCTTTAACAAATAACGATAATCATCTATTAACTCCATGACCTTAAACGGTCCCTTGTATTTCGGATCTAGTTAGGTCTGATTACGCTCCTCATTTTGTAACAAAACTAAGTCACTTCAGTCAGTCAGTCAAATTTAATCATTCTCTGTACTCTGCACATCATCAACTCTATTAATCACAATCGTCGCATCACCTAATTCGAGCGATGTAACTCATGTCACCTTCAAGTGACGATACCCCAGAAACAGTCGTCACATCACCTAATACGAGTGATCTAACTCATGCCACCTCTAAGTGACGATACCTCACAAACAGTCGTCACATCACCTAATACGAGTGATATAATGCGAACACACAATTAAATTAAAAGGTTGAATAGCGAATAGTGGTAAATACACACAATCCTCTACATCGCTAGATTCGCTAGTTTCTAACTCTACAGGTATTTCATGGTCCGGCATTTTCCTCAACCGGTCATGCGCGTACTTGTAAGTACGCTTAGAGTTCAGAGCTCTTCCAGAGTTTTCTCCCAGCCCAAATACATAAGAGACTCATGTGTGCCAAAATGGCGGCAACCCGCCCCACGTCATCGAACCGCCAAAGTCAGAGCTACCACTCCAATAAAACTAAAAGTATCGATGATGACGCCCTCCCTACAATCGAGCAATTAAGCAATCTAGTAAAAGAAAATTAAAAAAGGAAACCAAATCAAACGATCCCCGCAAAGGTGATGGAGATGCTATGCGAAACGGCTTTTCTGATAACCTCACGCATCCTCGCGTGGGGGTTCAATCTGAAAGGAAAAATATGCAGCGCAGTAGATTCTTTACTCGGTCAGTCCTGACTTCAACTAGAGCAAGATTTTGAAACCAATCAAAACTTTAATAATTAGAGACCGTTTTTACTTTAAGTTTCTTTAGATTGTTAAACTGATCAATTTACACTTTCATTAAATTATATTAAAATTAAATTTGAAACTGTGAAGAGTCATGTACCATCGTTATATTACAATAATTCAAAACATAAAACACTAACATATTAACTTCTAAAATACCCGAGTAAATATCTCTACCGCCACGGCCTCCATAGCCGACGAGTCATCGCCAACTCTCTCACAAAGACGCGCATTTACCATTGTAAATCGCACATGTGCATCTCTCTTAGACTACACACGAGACGGTCTATACAGACCACGACCTCCGCTAGTACTACACACCCACCGCACACCCACGGACTACTTGAGTTGCCCCAAGTGACACCGACTTCCAACGGGCTACGGCTACGTATCAGTTACTAGTACGGTCGACTTTCTACGGCCGGTAGAGTTCTTACTCGCATTCACATTACCAATTAAACTAATTTATTATCATCAGACATTTCATAAAACTCCACTTCGACTTCGACTGGTACATGTCCCTCTAGCATCTTACGTAAACGATCACTAAGCAGTTCAACGAAACTCATCAGACAAATTAGCTTTCTAAATAAAATTGGTAATCGTGGATAACATAGTAAAACAGTGACGTATGCAATACTCTATAATTTCAGATGCTTCCATCCAGCACCTTGTGACAACCTCCATCCGCAACACAACTCATTCACAGGTTACCTCCATCCGGTACCCTTCCACAACACAACACATCCACGGGTGACCTCCATCCGGTACCCATACACAATACTCATCGTCGTCTCTATGCGACGAATCAACAGCGATCGTTTACATCTCCTAGCCAACGCACGCCACTCACAAACGTGGCCGCAATGCGACGGGAAATCTAGCCCGATTTACGCCTACGACTACGAAGGCCCGGAAG